GATGTCCCTGAAATCCCTGGTCCTGTTTCTTTTGGGATTTAGATATCCTTGCTCCCATTTCCTCTGGGATTGGTGCCATTCCCTTTGGGATTGAGATATCCCTGAAATCCTTGCTCCCATTTCCTTTGGGATTGGGGCAGAAGTGTTGGGAAGAGGGAAAATCCCTCTGGGAGAAGTGGGAAAAGCCTTTCCTGGGGGGATGGGGGGGACAGCAGTGCCAGGCAGCTCCAGGTGACATTCCCTGGAAAAATCAGCTGCCAGGCTGTCCCTGTCACTCCCTCCTTGGAATTCTGAAGCCACCACATGGAAAACACTCCCAGAGTGTCACCCTTGGTGTCCTCAAAATTCCAGATCCTGGGATCCAACCTCTGGATTTTGGGAGCAGGACGGTTGGGAAGAGGGAAAATCCCTCAGGAAGGGATGGGAAAAGTTTCCCCCCCTCCCCCCCAGTCTGATTCCCACTTTTCCTGAGGAGGGGGAGCAGTGCCAGGCAGCTCCAGGTGTCATTCCCGCTGTCCCCTGGAATGCAGGAGCTCCAAATCCACCTGGAGAAGGGAAATTCCTGCTTTTCCTTCCCTGATCCCGGGTTAAGGAGCCTTGGGAAGGGGAGGTGACATTCCCAGGGTCCCTGTGGGAATGTTGGAATCCTCAGGAGTGACAATCCTGGGTTTTCCCTTCCCCCCCACCCCCCCTCTTTTCCCCATCCTTTGGGAATGAAATTCCTTCCCAGGAATCAGCCTGGATGTGCCACCAAAAATCCCATGGGATTCATCCAGGCTCATCCTTTTCCCTCTTTTTGGGGCTGCTCTCCCTGTTCCTGCATCCCAGAATTCCCAAATCCAGCCAGGGAGGAATGACCCCCCCCCCCCCACCCCTTTCTGTGAGTTTGGTGTGTTTGAATCCAATTAAAAATTTAAAAAAAAAAACCAAATCCGATTAAATTGGGGAAGGAATAATTTGGGAAGGGTTTGGGGGAATTCTTTTCCTGCCTTGCTCAGTTTTATCCCTGAGAATGTGGGAGATCCCTCTGGAATTGGGGATGGGATTCCTGCTTGGATGGGGGGGGGGGTCCCTCCCTTTGGGCCGTTCCTGAGGGGGGCAATTCCCCATTCCTGCTGCTTCTGGAATGAGGAACCCACGGGAATTTGTCCCCCCATCCCCATCCTGAGAATTCCCCTTCCTCCATTCCCCAATCCCATTCCCATTATTCCCATTCCCAGCCCCTTTTCCATCCCCATTCCCCATCCCTATTCACATTCCCAATGCCATTGCAATTATCCCCAGTCCCATCCCCATTCCCATTATTCCCAATCCCATTCCTGTTCCCATTTCCCATTATTCCCATTCTCCATTCCCATTATCCCCAGTTCCATCCCCAATCCCATTCCCATTATTCCTATACCCAATCCCATTCCCATTATTCCCTATCCCAATTCCACTCCCATTCCCACCCCCAATCCCATTCCCATTATTCCCATCCCCAATCCCATTCCCATTATCTCCAGTCCCATCCCTATTCCCAATTCCCCATCCCAGTTCCATCCCCATTCCCAATTCCATTCCCATTATTCCCATTCCTCAGTCCCATTATCTCCAGTCCCATTCCCAATTCCCCATCCCAATTCCATCCCGAATCTCATTCCCATTATTCCCTATCCCAATTCCATTCCCATTCCCACCCCCAATCCCATTCCCATTATTCCCCATCCCATTCCCATTATTCCCATTATTCCCATTATTCCCATTATTCCCATTATTCCCATTATTCCCATTCCCGGTGTCCCCTCCCCATGGGGTCAGGGGGTTCTGGG